TGTGGATTAAGGTCAGAAACAGAATCTTCTGGCCTCCGTACTGAGCTTCTCCCTATCCACTTCTGCTGCCCCCAAATACTTCCTTTACAGTAGTTGAGATACATTATGTCCCTAATGACTGTCCCATCTAAAAATAAGTGCTCTTGACACACAGGGGACATCAGGCTAGCACAGCAGGATGCTGAAGCGTCTCTAGATGCGTAGCAGGGCTTCTCTTACACTGGGTTGCAGCAATTTAGGAATTCACACTTGATAAATGCAATGAGGGCGGCTTCTTTTTATCTCTTGCAAACGGTGCCAGGACTGATATATTCCTGACCCTTATTTGGGTCTCCAGCTTATCCTTTTACGCTGTTCCCTGGAATCTTAAAATTCTGATGTTCCATTAGGCAAACATGCCCTGTAGTTGTATACGCTTTTTCACTGACATCTATATTACAACTATGTAATTGACAGCAGCTGGCCTAACTTTTTAAGCTTGAGTCTACATTTTTTTAAAAGACTCACACAGAAACATACTCTTTGTTTGCTCTGATAGTGTTTCTCAAGCAGAGAGATAATGCCTGAACTCTGGAAAGTTTCTTACCTGTAGCTGAAATAACTCTTCTGCAGCTTCTATCTTGTTTTCCAGATATAACAGTACAGCAACAGGCTTCGCTGCGTTACGATTAAATAATGCTATTGCTCGATTCAAAGATCTTTGTCCTTGCTCTTTTTTCAAGGTGAGAGGAAATCACAATGGAAGCTAAATGAAACGTAACTACTTTTCTTAATAGCAACATATTGCATTATCCCTGCTATGGGCTAGATTAAGCTGATTGAAGCCCTGTCAGTGCAAGGCACAGAGAAATAATCTGTCCTTGTTACCTACCATAGGAGTGGGAAAGATAATTTTCTCATTACAATAGTAATAATTAGTCTCCTGAAATACTACTTATTATAAACTGAGAGGGAGTAGTATTACAGGTATTGTTTCTCTCTCTTTTCTGGCATTCTCTTCACTGTAGTAATTTTGTAGATGCCTGCATTGGCAAGGAGGAATTTTGTTCTGGAAGTTTGAGTACTGTACTGTTTTAGAAACCTCCAAAAGTCAGGAAAACATACGGACTTATAGAGGATGCTTAACTGAAAGTCTTTAAAGAAAGTTCTTTTTCAATTTGCAATGGAAACAGCATTCTTTTGCAATGTGTTTGTCAGTACTATAGTACATAAACATCACAGTTTTTCTCAGATCCTCTGAGAAGTAGGATTGTAAGAGAACTACACTTGAGAAACCACATAGCAAAGGAAGCACTAATGGCCATAAAAACAGACTCCAAATCTCCCCCGAAAATGTTAATTTTCTATTGATTGGTTCTACTGGGAGGATTACCATGTTTGGCAAAGGAAAGGACACTGCCTCTTAATGGCATTCACAGCTTCTTGCCTGCTGTGGGTTGTGATTCATTTGTTGGCTAGGACATTCGCTTTTGTCTGCTTGCTCTTCAAGTGTTACCTAATTCTTGTTTCAATAGAATTGTATGTCATCATGTTTATCCAGTATGTGATCAACATTGCCTCTAGGTTGTCTCTTAAAAAAGAATTCTGTAATTTCAGACAATAAAACTGGTCTCTCTTGTCCTGTGAAAGCCATTCTGTCAGGAAAACTTAACTTTTACTCCTCCTGAGAATACTTCACTTCAGGATTCATATCCTTTTATGTCCCAAGAAACTGCAGAGATCCATTCCAAGAGGGAGAAGGGGTCAGATGTTTGCTTCCCTTTTGAAGGAAGTCAGAAGCTACCTTATCCAACAACGCAGAGCGGTATTTGGTATCCATTATTAAAGCAAACGCAAGGTAGGCTAGGAAAACGTAATGGCCTTACCTTTAGGAGTTCATGGACACACTCATTACTGCAAACTGCTTATTGAGACCTCCAGCTTGTCTCTTCTTTTCCCTTTGGCAAACTGTGTCCCGAACTTTTTAGAACCAACTTATCCACCGTCTTGACCACCCTGCCAAGCCGTTTCAAAAGCAAAAGCAAGCCATGCTCTGAGAGTGTTACTAAGGCGTTTTCTTTGATTATACCTAAACCTGCACTTACGGTGTTATTTCAGAGCCACAGACGGAAAGCTGCCTGTACTGACATAGTACTATCTCAGCTAGGTATGGATGGCAGAACCCTAAGTAAATTGCTCTTTGCCCTTGTTTTTCTGGCTATTACAGAAATGAACAGTACACTGAATTATAGTATCATTTTTATACCAGCATATTAGTGTTTAAGGGTTGAGCTATTTCTAAACTAGCCTCCATTTAAATAAATCTGGAAAGTAATGCATAAGTTGTTTTACAGGCTCAGTGTAACAAAGGAAAATTAAGCAATTCATGGAAGCATTGTCTAAATAAATATGAAGAAAAGCTACCAGTAGTTCTTTAATCTCACTCAAAAAGTCCTCAGTGTTTTTTTTAATTACATGGCTTCTAAAGAATAAAGGAAAGTAATTTTGTATCTTTTCCTTGTTTATACCCTTAAAGAACCTTGTTTTCACAAACATTTTGTTTGCTAGGTTTTCATGCAGTACTACAATAATTCTTCGCAATAATGCTTAAATGTAATTTTTAAAGCTATTTTAACAATGGTTTTGTTCACTTACTTAGAGATTCCACCTTTTAAAAATAATTAAATATGTATATATCTTTTTTTTTTAGTTTCAATACATTTAGTTTAACAACTGGATCTTGTTGTTCACTAGAATAAAAATAGGGACATCAGAAAGGGAGGCTAAATCCCAAGTAAATACTGCCATTGGAAATCAAACCATGTAGATCAAAATTACAGTTTTAGACTGCTTCACTTCTCCCACCTTCTCTGTCTTGTAAGAAAACATAAATAGAACAAAAAATTTATTTTTGTGGAAAAGACAAAGTTCATCCTTTACCAAAAACAAAAAAAGCCCCAAATCCCTAACCTCGTCCTTCAAATAAAAACCTCAAGAACTTTCCAACAACTGCTACAAGAAAAACAGGATTTTCCAGACTTTGGAAGACACATTCTCCTAATGCTATCATGTCCCTGACAAAAGTAAAAGTTCAACTGCATATTAAGGCTGTTCACACTTTTGCAGAAGTAAAAGTTCAACATACGGAAGATGGCAGAAAGGATAATGAACCAGTTGCTCTGCTCAAGTCAACTCAACGAAACCTTCCATCTCTTTTACAGGTGGTCCTTATTCCCTCAGAAAACTGCATATTAAGGCTGTTCACACTTTTGCAGTTGTTTGCAGTTCAGTTGTCTCTTCCTGCACCTTAGCCAGAAACAACCTTCATTACAACTCCACTCAACACTTTAGGGCAACACTGAAGTCTTGGACCACTCTATACTTCATCAAGCCAGAAGTGACCACGCACACCCGGGGCCTGCACATGGAACCCACCAGGATCACGCACACGCAGGTGTGGTCACAGTGTGCTGCAAACCGTGCGCAACTCAAAAAAGGTCTTGGCAGCTCCTTTCAGCTTTGGGTGCTTGCAAACAGTCATTCTGTCCTCGTTATTGATAGACCTTCTGTCAGTTAAATTATCCATTTTAGAAAAAAGCCTCCAGAATCCCCTTCCAACACCTAAAATACTAAAGCACAATAAATGATTGTCAGGCTGAAATATTTATAGAAAACAGGCTGGAAAACAAAGACAACAACCCCCAGCTGAGCTGGTTGCTTGTGCCCTGAAGGCCCTGTATTATTTGACCCTGCATGAACACATGAATGCTTCTGCATGAAACTTATCACCCAATGCTCACCACTGTAATATTTGTTCTTCCAAAGCAGACAATTTGGTAATAAACAGTACACTCTCTTCCAATCAAAACAAGCAACAAAAGAACACACATTCTGCCCAAATGATTAGTTTTCTTGTTTGAGAAAACTCCATTTCAGCAAACAAAAAACATAAAAGGACACTGTGTACCAATAGCAAAAGTATTGAAGATTTGTTACTCCTAAGCTCCCCTCTTAACTAATGAGGGGGCAGAATGATTTCAGGGAGAGGGCAAGATGAGATCTCACCACACACACACAAGTACACCATAGACGTGTTTCATGTCAATGCTATTAAAAAGAGCTTGCTTATTCTCTAGTCAATTCAGTGAGGAAGTCCTTCTGCAGCTTCACAACAGCAGCACTTGAAAATCAAGTGTTTTTCCCTTTGCCAGCAATAAAAGGTGTTCCTATGGCTATTGCCCTGTTTAAAAATCTACTTGGAAATTCTTAAGTCTTTTGAAATGAATAATTTGCCTAGTTGGCAGGTATTCTTAATGAACCAGGGAAAAACCTTTATCTGATCATTTTATGAAAGATGTACACTTGAAAGTTACCCTAGAAAACCCACTCAACCATTATGTCATTAATATCAATATTGTACGTTTTGCAAATCCTGCATTCAGGGAACTACTTTCATTTTTCTTCCTCATGTGGCTTTATCCTGGGCAATTACTGTGTCCTTTTAAAGCAGAATAAATTTATTTCAAAACACTAATTTAAAAAACAGTGCTGTTGAAAAGCTACATCCTTACGTCTTCTGTAAATAATGATCAATTAAAAACAGTGGCAGAAGTCAACAATGAGAAATTGCTACAAGTACCTGGGCTTTATGAAATCCTGAGAACCTGCTAAGGTCCCAATTCAATAAAGCTTTTAAACATTCCTAAGTTCCGTGGTAATTCACATTTCTCAGACATACAATTAAATATCTTACTGAACTTGAGCCTACACCTAAAACACCATCTCAGCGTATAGGAGCACAGCTTTGCGTGAGGGATTCTCCATTGCAAAATATTAAGGAAACTATAAAGTGTCCGATATCGAATACAGTTATTCGGTGAAGTTTAATGGCTAACTCAGTGACTGAATGAAAGGTCAAATATTCAAAACTGGTATAAAAAGCATCTTTACTCAACAACTTATGAAAAGGAAATAACGTATCATTTGAAGCCATTAAACAAATTACATTACTGATCCTGACAAGAACTCAGTAAAACGTTTGCCAAACATTTTGCTTGTCCACAAAGTATTCAGAGAAAAATAAATGAAACAGGACACATTACACAAGCAACCATTTAAAAAAGTCAATGTAAAAATAGCAATTATGTATCTAACTGTTTTTTCCCCATCTGTTTTCCAAAACATGTAGGTGACAAACACCACGTGGATCACTTTTCAGTCTCATTCTCAGGTTCACTGTCTCCACTGTCACTGTCTCTTCCGGGGTGCTCTGGCATGGTTCGATGTTCATCCACTTCGGCCACTTTCAATTCTCCTTCCTTTATCATTTCTTCCCCTACCTTATTTTCTTCTTCTTCTGCATCCTCCTGCATGCCTTGCACTTCACCTTCTACTTCAGTCTCTTGAGTTTGAGTGGTTTCAGTTTCTTCCATCATGACAGGTGGGGGCAGTAAACGCTAGACGATTAAAAAAGAAAGAATTGTCAGTTTTTACAACAAATTTGGGCATCCAATCCTATTTTAGCTTGAACTGTTCACCTTATATTTAGGATTTTGCACTAGATAACAAGTTAACAACAGAGACTTAAAATTTAGAAGTCCTAATTGTTTGTAGGCACTTAACTGCTATAGATAAAAAAAATAAATGAAGAATAACCTTGGCTCACACAATGGTCTTATTAGACATATTTTTTGCCTGAGAAGAGGGTGTTAAAAACACAGTACTTTCTATTCATGGATATCAAACATATTTCATTATTCTAAACAGCCAGACAAGTAATTGAGCTACAGTAAATCCCTACCTGGAGCAACAAGCACATTCCTACCATAATCTCATCTATTATAATTTCAAACTCCTAGATACGTTTAACTTGCTTTATGAGGTCTTTAACAGGCTTGTCTTTAACAACTCATTCCAGTTATTTCTCCTTGAAAAGTCTTATAAAATGTTATGTGAATGTTATCTATACTTAACACAAGTTTCACTCACAGCTCTAAGTGTAGAACAATGCAAGTTCCAGTAACAGTTGAAGCAATGCTTAGATATTTTTCACATAATACTTCTGGAAAAGTAATTTAGTATATTCAAAGTGTTTTGCTCACAACTAGAACAGTAGTTTGCAAGATGCTATAAGCAGCAATGGTAGCCATATTACACACTTTGGAAAAAAAATACCAAGAATACAGTGAGCTGAAGAGTATGGGTGAATGCTATACAACTCCAGGCTGTACAGAAACACTCAGACTTCTTGCAGCATGACGTTATTTAATGACATGATAGGTATTTCCTTGAAATATTGTGAAGCATTTTAATGAAATGAAAGCTCGATAAACCTCCCATGGATGATTGTTTGGCTTTGTTTTGCTTAAAGGCAAGTTGGCTTCACATGACAAATTAAGTGTCTAATTACAGCAAAGACTTATCTTCAATTAGATGACACTAATATTACAAATTTCTGACAAGCATAGGCAAATCCCGTGAAGCAATTATGACTACCAGCAGAGATATGAGAAGCATTTTCCATAGACTTAGAAGTTATCATACTGGTCCCTATAATCCATCTGTTCACGGAAAAAGTGTATTGCGAAACCAGAGATCCTTTAATTACAAAAATATATTCTTAATGCATGAGACAAATTCAGACTACTACTGCGATTTCATGTTGTGTTTCGTGACTACTACTGTTAAGACTAGTGTAAAAGAAAAGAAAAAATACAATGTACTAAATAGGGTAAAATAAATTTAATGCAATGCTGCCTTTTTTTTTTGTGGCTCACTTTTTGGCTTCTCCTGCAAGAAGAATGTGATTCATCGCCACAGTAGGAAACCAGCAGTTTTGTAAATAGTTTTAGCTAGCAATGGGTAAGATTAGGATGCTAAGAAGAATAACTGATATTAGCAGAAGGATCAGGTCTATATTTGATTAAGATGTCAAGCAAACCCATCTTTTGGTAAAATTTAGATGCTACCATCTGCTTTTCAGGATGTATACAATTCTCAGTTTTGACAGGGCTATTCATTTGCATCTGAATATGACCAGCTGCACAGTCCACTGAGTCTTCATCACGTAAAATCTGCACAGTTTAGAGATCTCCAACTACATTAGACAAACTAGCTTGAAAACATCTCATCATGTGCTTATAGGACTGGGTTTCTAATAAAACAGTGTGAGTTTTCAGTACTTTAAAAAAAATAAAGTTCGAAGAAGAGATTTTAGTAGCGTCACTCCTCTTTCTGTATTGTCTTTTCTTTACAGGAGACAGATAATTAGATCACTTCCCCAAAACAGTAAGAAAATATCTTGTCCACCTAGAAAAAGCTTTTTCTGGGTAGAAAAATGCTTCCAATTTGGCTGAAGCTGCACCTCCCAGAAGAAAAAAAAAAAACAATCCACTGGATAAGAACTGCAAAAGAAAAGAAATTCTCTATCTGAAAGTCTGACATTCATTTAAAGAAGTAGTTTTGGGTTCTGATCTTTACTGACTACACTGTCCCACAGTAGATGACAGCAGTCACTGGAAGCAGGAAAAGGAAGTGACAGAGAAACATCCCTGCCTTAAAGAACAGAATCTAGATCTCACAGACAAGAACCTTGGACCAATCTGTTCAAGGATACAGAGCCATGCTCACACTCTCTTCCCACAGTCAGCTAATACAGAGTGAGTAAGTAGTATCCTTTGACATTATTTTTTTCCAGTTTTGGAAAGCCCTCAGAAGAGCAAAAACCAACACAGGAACTTCAGAGTATCATGAAAAAATAAGCAATATGTAATATAACCATGATACATCGCAGACATTACATGGAAGCTGATGCAGTTGAGGTAGCATTTAAGACCTCTCCCTTTCTGTTTGCTATAAACTACTTCTAGGCATCTACAGATCCAAGTATGCTGATTAAAGGCAACTTTCTGCTCGGTATACTATCTAAACTACCTTAAAGCTCTGCTCACATATATAAGATAAAGTGTTTCTGTTGGGTTCTGAATTCTGCTGTGGGGATTAAATACTGACAAAATTAGGTACAGAAGTGAGAAACACAATTGCTTCCGATCCTATGCTATTTTGCATGAACTAGTGCTAAAAAAATTGCTTCAGAATAAAAATGCTACAGCTGCTAAGCAGCCTGGATAACGCAGGGAGCTAACGTGATTAAAATTAGTCCAAAACATGGTCTTGTCTTTCTATACACTGCAGGATTGTCATGAAAATCTCTATTACAAAACATTATTGCACCACGCAGTGATGCTATAATACCACTAGCTGCACTTACCTGAAACATAACACACAAGCTGACTGCAAGTAGATGCTGGACAGGCTAGTTCTTCAGTATTAACGAGGAATTTTTGGGACCAGACAGAGCCATGTCTAGCATTCGGCATCAATTACTGCTGGTTTTGAGGCTTTAAATTGGAGCTTAAATTACTAAAAGATACAGATCTTGCTACTGCAAGATTTTAAAGACATCAATATTCTCACTCCTAGTCATAAAACCTTGTTGAATTTTAAATATAACGGGAACAGCCTCAAATCTCAACAGCATCTTGTGTCACCTACTAAAAAACAATTTTATTTTAAATGTACAGTTTCCAGAAGTTAGAAGGTCCTTACCTGTTGATAGTGGCGTGTACTCTGTATCATGTGCATGTACATATTGTACACAAAGTTAGCCATTTGAGGCATGTTCTTAATAACATGTATTTGGTGAGATGGTCTTTCTCCACTCTAAGGAAGGGGAAAAAAATAGACATTCAGCAAGCAAAGCAAAACAACCATTATTCAAAGGTTATTTAACTATATTAGAAAACAAACTCCAACAAATTAAATAATGCTTTTTAAAGAAAAAATACCTAAACTCCTCATAAAGATAGGAAGTGCAGGTCTTCCACTTTGAGGAGCTGGATTAATAATGATACTGCAGTCCAACAAAGAAATTTCAAAGGGGAAGGCTGGGTTCTTTTGCTTACTCCATAAAGTACACTTTGGACTTAAGTCATTTAACATAAAGGCACAAATAGTGTAGGGTTAGACTGGGACTTAGCCTACTTTTCCACCTCTGTCCAGCTCCTTCTGGCTCACATTTGCTGACCATACACACTGCGTTCTTTGTTGCACAGTGGACCTGAAAGTTTCAACTGAATGGCTCCCTCCCAAACTTGTCAAAGCACTTGAGACCAGGGTAAGATCTGCAACTGAATTTTGACTTCACGTAGGCACCGCTTCCCAAAGCTCAAGGAGGCAAAGCAGATAGGCTCCTCTGTTTCTTTGTTTAGCATCCTACTCTGCATGTCGTGGGCTTAGATGCTTAATACAAACCTTTCCCTAAAGATCAAATGTAGTATTTCAAATTATGTTTTCGTACTTATGAACCTAGCTCAGCAACAAAACTCTTTTGTGATTCTGGACTCAATTTAAAATAAAAAAAAAAGTTAACTGGTTATCCTGTAATTTTGTTTTGTTTCATAACAAGGCCAAAAATATACAACACACTAAAAACTTACCTATTTATCACAAAATAGAATCATAGAATGGTTTGGGTTGGAAGGGACCTCAAAGATCATCTAGTTCCAATCCCCCTGCCATAGGCAGGGAAACCCCCCACTACACCAGGGTGCCCAAAGCCTCATCCAACCT